ATATCAGATTTCCCACCATTCTTGTGAAGAGGAATGATATGAGATTCTTTCCAAAGACAACTACGAATATTGTCGGGCCCAGGAGAGTAAGAAGACTTTAAAGAGTTTATAGCTAATAGGAGAGAGGAGTGTGAAATAATAGGAGGAGGTATAGAAGTAGCGGAAGAAATAGTATAAGGGTAAGAATTAGTATTAGGACAGACTGAAGAGTAAGTTAATTGGAAAAAATTAGCAAAGAGGTTAGCAGAATCAGTGTCATTACTAGCTTTATTAATCCCAAGAGAAAAAGAAGATGGCAAACTTGAAGATTTACGCTTCAAGTTTACAAAATTATAAAACTGTCTCGGATTTTGGGCAAATTGCCTTTTACAACGACTTAGATAATTCTCATAGCATTGAGAATTAACAAGAAAGAAGTTCGACTTGGCTATGGAATATTTAGCCAAATCTGTACACGAACCAGACTTTTTAAACTTTTTAAAATATTTAGATTTTACATTTTCAGGTGTGATAATCTGGGAGTAAGCCAGGGTGGTTTTGAAAAACTTGTCGAAGGAATTGACTTAGGAATACACACATCTAAGAGGGAGATTTGGGTGATGTAAAAAAAATTAATGGCAGTATTCATATTAACCGAGTCATATAAGAAAGACCAATCGGTTGCATAAATAAGCTGATTCAGCAAAGAATAATTACCTTTGCGAAAGCAACAGAGGGGATTATTGGCTGATGAGCACGAAATGAAAGGATTACAATTGAGCAATCTCTAAAGTAGGATGATAGACATCCTCAGGAAGAGATAAAGGAGGGGACCTAGACACATTAGAAATAAGGTAGTCGTTAACAAATACAAGGTCAAGTGTTCTATTCAAATGATAAGAAATTGAATTGATTTGAAACAACGAAAGATCAAGCATGCAGTATATAAAATCGTGCTGTGCTGAGGGCACTAGATAATTTTCAGCAGTGAATAATGACCAAAAGATGTTCGACAAATTAAAATCACCCAATACCACAAATAGGTCATTATCACGCACGTGTGAAGAAACTTCTTTAATACAAGTAATATGTTTCATATAAACTTGAATATCAGAAGAAGGAGGGACATAAGAGCATGTTATATAGATATTCCATGTAGGAAAAGACACCTTAACTGAGACAATCTCAGCGTCAGTAGGCGTACTAAAACAGAAAAGTTCTGACTGAAGAGTGGCTTTAACACCCCACAACCTCGAGTCGGCCGATCATTTCTATACAAATAAAAATATTCGATAAAACCTCAAAATCAGATATGGTTCTGTTTAACCATGTTTCTGAAGATGCTATTATATCCGAATCGAAGGAAGTGCTGGCCATGAAAAGATTTTTAAGCTTTGAAATGATATCTCAAATATTCTGATAATACATAATGATTTGGTCAGAAGATGAAGATAGTTTTTTGGGGCAGAAATGGTACCCTGTATTGAAGGGACTGAAAGGGTGACAGGCTGGTTACGCTTTTTAGGCTTGAACTCGTGAACAATCATGTGTGGGGGCCAAAATTTCGGATCACAAATGATTGGGAACATATCATGTGAAACATTTATTTTGAATGATGATATTTCACGAGGGGTGGAGTAATTAAATTTGGTTATTGACACGCTAGCAGAATATTTGCTAGCAATATAGGCTGCCAACGACTCAGAAGTGGTGTCCGACGAAAGACGAGACACAAAACTTGCCTACAAGGGGCAACTACCAAGTAGCTAGGAAGGGACAAAAAAGGCGTAGGTGTCTGAACAGACGTAGAGGGCAATTGGAAAAGTTGAGGCTCCAACCGGCGATTGGTTGGGGACTCGAATTTATATTTGCCAAGCAGCTCGAAACTCGAGTCAAAATTACACGAGAGCTGCTTAGCCACATTATTCAATTTTAAGAATTGGTATCTCACAGAGTTAGACATTTTGGAGAAATCTATTTGTTTGTCGACGCATTCTGGGCACGACCAACGCAAGCCACCACAGCCCTTCTTGGCAATAGCAGCGATCTTGTCGCAATCACGCCCAGTGAGACCTGCACATTTAGCATGCATCATATTCTCACACAGCCAGCAATTAACAAATTGCGGCAGTGCAGAATCATCAGCCTGCGTGAACGTGCACGGTTTCGTACAGCACGACATAATTATTAAATGCGTATGCAAGTTCCCAGAGCGCAGAGCAAAACGAAAACGGTTCACAAGATAGATCAAGTAAACACTCAAAAACAATTATTCGTACTCAAACAAATTGTTTGGAGCTAAAAGCAATAGAAAAAAATTTGCGATAGCGCGATACTTAAGCAGAAAGTATGCAGCGAACACACGCACAAACAAGTGTATGTACAGGGGAGCACCAAAGCAAAAGAATCAAAACAGGCAATAACAACAACACGGAGCTGACGCCACGTTTTATAAATGCAATAATTAACAGACTTACGCTGCACAACAGATAACACTTTGCACAGTTTATAAAAGCTTTTTAAATAAAGCACCGAAAAATGCAAATTTTGAAATAAAAAGCAGGATTAAAGCGCAAAAATATATAAAATCTTGGAGCACAAGTAAAACACGTCAATCACTCTCAACTGAGGACTTGATTTATAGCTCTAGGGTGTCAGCGGGGAGGTGGCGATATGTATAAAATGAAAGATACTCGATATATATATAATATTCTAAAAGCAACATAACAAGTTTGGTGACTCTAGCTCTTAATATTTACTAAAATTGCTAAAAAAAAAAAAACAGGATGTCAACATCAATTTTTATCGATTGCTTGGAAACTGTGCAAGTTATCGATTGTCGGAAACAGGAGGAGGACCTACATTCCAAATTTCTCTAGCTCCTGTAAGTTCTAAAATCGACGTGGCAATATATACGGGCTCACGGACATGGCTAGATCGATTTGGTATTAATATATTTGGAATATATTTTCTTGATCGGCTGTATATTTTTTTCAATCTAAAAATAAAAAAATTTTGCTTTAGTCGGCGCATGCAGCCAACCTCTGCAGAAAATAGCAAGAAATGCATACATATACACACATACAAACATGTTAACACGCCATAAGCGTAAGGGATTCTGCACAGCATGCACTGTGCAAAAATAAAAGATAATCGTATTTGCATGGGATATTGCATTAATTATATTATACACTATTAATTTATTATATGGGACGATTTTGGCTAACAAAAAGCTACTATGCCTGCGTGGCGTTTGAAGGGCTAAAAGCCACACAAGATATTTTGGGAGTTGCCCATCCTAAGTAGTTTAAAGTAGTAAGCCATGGTAAAGTTGATGGCGCTGCACTGACATATTCTGATATTAAGCAGTGCTAAAGCGATGTAAAGGTTCAGGTTTATGATATATAAAGTTCTGTCATTTTTTGAGTATCATGAAAATGGTTGGCTATATAAACCCATAGAAAATCTTTCGGCCGCTGTAGGTATATGGCAAATTAACAATATTCCCAGGCATTCCTCATTTTAGAACTATTGCTTTCGAATATGTGTAGAGAGCAACAGAGATCAAGGTTTTCAGAATATATTACGTCAGACTGATCTGTCTAATTCATTGGGAGAAGCTTATGAAGCTTTGCCGGCCATGGTTATAAAACTAGGCTCTGTGCATACTATCGGGAATCACATTTGCATTTCTTTTACTCCTTCAAAGAATGAGAAAAAGAATGAGCGATAAGATCATATTGGTTTAGACATCGTCCATGCTTCCTTAAGAACGCAAATTTGTTGTACCGCTATTGAAGAGCGAGTCTAAAAATGTGGAATATATAATTATGGAGCACCCTATGGATCTAGCGATCAAAAATACCTCGAGCAGAGATACCAACGTGAATCTATGATAAGTTTGCAAGCCGAAGATAAAATATAGACATTTCCCTTTTGCAGATATGAGATAATGCACCAAAATACGGATGCAAATATCTTTGAGAATAGAATATTTACCATATAAAATAGTACTATTCGGCCGATCTTTCCTTTAGCTGCTATATGATATATTTGCCTGCTGTTGATAGGATTTTGCTAACATAAGGATTATGGAGGAACTAACAAATCAAGTTATCTTAATATAAAACAAGTAAGAGGTTTTAGAAGGGAGCTCTCGACTAGGAAATACCCTTAACCCTCTTATTCCAACACCAAATAAATTTAAAAAAAAGTTACCTTGGCAGGGTTCGAACTCGCAACAAACCGCATTACTTGCTGTTGACTCTACTCAACAGCCACACCAGCAAAAAAAAATATAAATACTTTCCCCGTTAGGACTTGAGCTCGCGACAGACCGCACCACTTGCTATGCCTCTACTCAACAGCCACACCAATAATTAAGTACCTATTATAAACAAGTAAGAGGTTCAAGTCGGGAGCTCCCGACTAGGGGATACCCTGAACCCTCTTCTTCCAAATGCATATATATATTCTATTTTAGAAGCTATATATCAAGTTTGGTGACTCAAGCGCTTATTATTTACCAAAATGTCCCAAAAACCGGATATCGATATCGATTTTTATTGATTGCTTGGAAACAAACTCGATCTTCGCAGGCACTAGGAGCACATACATCTAAATTTTTTTGATGCTGATTTTGTATATATATATATACATCATGGGTTCGGGGATGCTTGCTGCAAACTGATTACTTGTAAAAAATATTCAAAAAACGATTTGTTTGTTTTTCAAATTTGCTGGCTTTTATTAGTTCTAAGATATGCTAAAATAACGATTCCTCTATCGATTGGTTGAAAATGGAGCAAGTTACTTGATTGCTTATACATGAAGTGGTGAACACATACATTTTTTATATTGATAGGTTTTAATGAATGAAAAATCTATTTTTTTAACGGATTATTTAAATAATATTAACATAAATAATTGTTACCATTGTTTAAATATCAATTTTTTACATATGTATTATGATTGAATCATTACTTAAAAAATATTAATAGGAAATTTGCAAAACTCTTTTGGGGATATTTTAGTTGTTGCAATATTCTTGAAAATGTATTGTTAAATTTCGCGATACAACATATCTACTCTATGAATGTGTTATTTTTATTAAAATGAATTATTATTTATAATCACAGAGCCTGTTCATAAGCTCCGTGGAAATTCTATAGTCATACAGAGCTATCTCGTTTTATCATTAATGGAGTTTGGACGGTAACTTCATCTTCGGATTGGATCTGTTCAATAGAGTTAATTATATTGCTTGATGTGTCAACACTAACACTGCTGGACTGGGCCTGCGTTATGTGGTGTAACGCTATGGTTCGATTATAAGGTTGAGCAAAAGCTTTGGACGTTGAAATTATAGAACTGTTGGATACAGATGACGACGAGCCTGCATATTCCTCCGTCGATTCTCGAGTCAGATGCATTTCGGACTTTTCTGATGAAGTCGAAATTTGATAAAATTTTGAATGTACTGCATAGTTGCTTTTATATCCAGGCCAATCATTTCGATACGAATGTCGGGGAAGCGTGCATTGAGCAATGACATTCGAATAAACATGTGGAGTCGCATTCTGAAAAAATATAGAAATAAAACAGTATCAATGGCTATCGATGTATAGCGTTGTAAATCCTATTTTACGGCCGAAGATTATGATTATATCTAAAAGTGGTGGAATGTTATATATTACCTAATTGAAACTTTAAACGATTGTTATGCCCAAAATCCATTGGAATAGGGTCAATAGTATATTGTAGTGAGTATTTGCATTAAATAACACCCTGTATTTAAATACAAAGAATGCGACACTTTGTTGCATACAATAACAAACATAAAGCCAAAAGCGTAGAGCCGCTTGAGTTTATTGACTCAGGCTCATATTTCGCAGCGCGGACCTCGAGTACTCTAGCTGGCCGTTTAACCGACGGCGCATATATTCGTTTTATATGTTATGCATAAAACGACTTTTATACAAAGGGCAGCGCCGCCACCTTAGGTTTAGTAATATTTAATACCAAAATGTAAAATCAGATCAATAAAAGTATCCGGAGCGACAAGAACAGTCACTTCTACCCAAACTTAAAACGTGCGTGATAACTTATCCTACATGGCAACCGTGACTAAGGTTGAAATAGACTTGGACATGAGAGAACAACAACAACATCAGCAGCAACGGCAGTAACAACAACAACTACAGCAGCAACGGCAGTAATAACAACAACAACAGCAGCAACGACAGTAACAACAACAACAAGAGCAGCAACGGCAGAAACAACAAATTAAAAGAAAACAAGTAAGAGGTTCTAGTCGGGAGCTCCCGACTAGGGAATACCCTGAACCCTCTTCTTCCAACATCAAATGCATATATAGTGGCATACTCGCACGTATGCACAGCTATAGTGACAAATATAAGAAGGCAGCATAATTGCAGCTGCGAATCTGCAAGCGCTTGTCGCTTGCAAAACCATAAATACATTTAAGCAAAGCAATAAAACATTATTCAGATAATTGCATCTGCATCCATACAGATAAGCAACGCAATTAACAACTTACTTAGATAATTGCAACTGCACTTGTACAGTAACACAAAGCAATAGACACCTCACTCAGATAATTGCAGCTGCGCGTCTTTACGTAAAAATCAGCTTCTCAACATAAAATAAGTTCTACTGAATTTTAGTCTTAAGTTGTTCTTCAATAAATGAACTCGTCGTGAAATATCGCCATGTCTTTAATTCAATTTCACCGTTAGAGCTGTGAGCGGTTTTTATAGGATTCAAACTCACAGTAAATAAAGAAAAATCTAATTATATATATTCCATTTTAGAAGCTATATGTCAAGTTTGGTGACTCTAGCTCTTATTATTTACCAAAATTGGCCAAAAACAGGATATCGATATCGAATTTTATCGATTGCTTGGAAACGGAGTAAGTTATCGATTATCGGAAACAAACTCGATCTGCGCAGGCACTAGGAGGACCTACATTGAAGGTGTCTAGTTCTTATTGGTTCTGAGATCCTTGCGTTCATACATACGGACAAACGGACGGACGGACGGATGGACGGACGGACAAGGCTAGATCGACTCGGCTATTGATGCTGATCTAGAATATATACACCTAATGGGGTTGGAGATGCTTCCTTCTGCCTGTTACATACATTTGGATTTTGCACAAATACAATATACCCTTATACCCATTTTAAATGGATCCAGGGTATAAACATGTAATATAATTTAATGTAGAATTTAAGTTTTTTAGTTTTAATGTAGTTATAAGGTAATAAGTTTGTAAGTTAATGCCAAGGAAACAAATTTTTAAATAAATGTTGCGATTTGTTTTAAAAAAAAATATGAGTTTCGTATTTAGAAGCGGAAGAGCAATCCCTCTGCACCAACATTGTCGCTAGCACATTTGCAGCAGCATTATCGTTAATACTAACGAAACAGTTGACTGTTTTGCATCAGCTTTATCGCTAACACCTTTGCATCGGCATTATCACTAATTAAAATGTGCTAGCGAAATAGTTAAGCCTTCTGGATTAGATAAATCGCTAGCATCTTTGCTCTAGTACAATCGCTAAGTAAAGTGTGCTAACGAAATCGTCAACCCTCTTGCACTAGGTATTTCGCTAGGTCAACATCACGCAACGTCGTACGGCTCGGTACGCGGCAATGACATCCGCATGTTAAATTCGTTAGTCTAACGAATTCGTGTTTGCATGGTTTACGACTAGTACCGATTGTGGAGAGTTAGCTTAATCGTTTGCGGTGCACCGGTGGACCCGAACCACAGGGTGGACATATATATATGCATATGTTCATATTGTAGTATGTGCATATATTGAGGGTACACTGTACCAATAAAGTTACATCGACTAAACTTAAATATATCAGCAATACATTGTTGCAGTATATAAACAAAACCTTTTCAAGTAAGCGTGTAATATGATCGCCCACTTATGAGCTACGCTAAGTCAGCAGTCCCACGCTGACCATTCGTAGCACATATATACATAGATGCAAATATGTACATAAGACTCTCTCTCTCCCGATTATGCTGATAAGACAAACTATGTATGAAGCCGCTCCGCTGCTGGCGTAACCGGCAGCGCAGCTATGCGGTTTTAGATATAAGAAAAGATTAAATAAATCACATTTTTAAAACGAAAGTCAAATGGAGCAGATGGTCCGATCCGTATCTAACATTACATTGGCGAAACACAACATATCTAATTCTACATGGCGACCGTGACAGGAAGTTACAGGATAGGGACTAGCGGGACTGGAACAGCAACAATTGAAGAAACGCAAGACACCGAAGCTGAAAAAGGCCTGTTCAAACGACTGCGAGGGACCTCTTTTTACACCACATTGCCGATACACATGTGCAGCCAGCACCGGTGACCCATCAAAGAAGTAACAACTTGTCCAGCCAGCAACGGTCCAATCTGACGTACCAAGTCAGGCCAAAGATAAGTGAACCGACAGCGCTTCCCAGAGCGCATATTTTTTTCCCATTGCGCAGCGTTGCATATTTTTATACCCTGAACCCATTAAAAATGGGTATAAGGGTATATTGTATTTGTGCAAAATCCAAATGTATGTAACAGGCAGAAGAAAGCTTCTCCGACCCCATAAAGTATATATATTCTTGATTAGCATCAATAGCCGAGTCGATCTAGCCATGTCCGTCTGTCCGTCCGTCCGTCCGTATGTATGAACGCAAGGATCTCAGAACCTATAAGAGCTAGAGACTTTAAATTGTAGATGTAGGTGCTCCTAGTGCCTGCGCAGATCGAGTTTGTTTCAGATAATCGATAACTTACTCCGTTTCCAAGCAATCAATAAAAATCGATATCGATATACTGTTTTTTGGGAAATTTTGGTAAATAATAAGAGCTAGAGCCACCAAACATGATATGTTGCTTCTAGAATATTATAGATATTTCAAGTATCTTTCATTTCATACCTATCGCCACCTCCCCGCTACCACCGCAGAGCTATAAATTAAGTAAATAACCTAACTTTTATTGACAACCAATTTAAACCAAAATTTAAATGCAATTGACTTTTTGAGAAAACACAAATATTTTATGGTACAATAAGATATACTGTAGATAATTTTATTAAGATCGGATAAGAGAAAACCAAAGTTATATGTAACTGAGTTTGTTTCCGATAATCGATAACTTACGCCGTTTCCAAGCAATCGATAAAAATCGATATCGATATCCTACTGATGCTGATCAAGAATATATATCCTTTATAGGGTCTTTCTGCATGTTACATACATTTGGATTTTGCACAAATACAATATATCCTTATACCCATTTTTAATGGGTTCAGGGTATAAAAAGGCATTAATGAAACCAACATTATTGCAATACCCTGACTTCAGCAAAGAATTTTGCATAGCCACAGATGCAATTAAACATGCATGTGGTGCTTTACTATCCCAAGAGTGTAACGGTGCGCAATTGCCAATTGACTACGCATCCCGAGCTTTCACACAGGGAGAAGGCAATAAATCAACTACAGAGCAGGAATTAGCTGCTATACATTGAGCAATAAAACACTTCAGACCATAAGTTTATGGAAGACATTTCTTTGATAAAACAGACCATAGACCCCTAACTTATTTGATTTCGATGAAAAATCCCACATCAAAATTAGCCTGGATGAGTCTACACTTAGAAGAATACCAATTTACGTTAGAATACCTCAAGGGAAAAGATAACCATGTAGCGGATGCATTATCCCGCATAAACATAGAGACACTAATTGACTCATGTCAGGAAAATATTAATGGTTCAAACAAGATCATCAAAAATACGGGAAAACGTCTGCGCAGATGACTTAATAAAATTGCAAAAAGATCAAAACGATCTGAAAGAGCCCAATGTCTATGAAGTCGTTTGTAATAACGACGTAAAGAAATTGGTGAAACTAAAATTCGGTAAAATAAATTGTTTACTTAAAAGAGGAAAACGAATAATTTCACAATTTTCAGTTAATGATTTGTACTCCAATGGGAAATTCGACTTAGGTCAATTTCTTCAAAGGCTTAATTTAGAAGCCGGAATACATAAAATTGCTAACTTACAGTTGTCACCAAATGAATTTTCGAATTTGTATTACCTCGTACAGAGAATAGAATTTAATAACCAAACTAAAGTTGACCCTATATATAACATAGACAACTACGCAATAGAATTTAAGTTTAGGCTAGAAATAGCGTATAAATGAGTAAAAACTCTAGTAGATTTAGAAGAAGAACAAGTAAGAGGTTCTAGTCGGGAGCTCCCAACTAGGGGATACCCTGAACCCTCTTCTTCCAACATCAAATGCATATATATATTTTATTTTAGAAGCTTTATGTGAAATTTGGTGACTCTAGCTCTTATTATTTACCAAAATTGCCCAAAAAACAGGATATAGATATAGATTTTTATCGATTGCATGGAAACAGAGTAAGTTGTCGATTATCGGAAACAAACTCGATCTGCGCGGGAGCTAGGAGCATCTACATCTAAAATGTCGTCTCTAGCTCTTATAGGTTCTGAGATCCTTG